ATAGACACACACATGTTGTACATCACATTGCTATTGATTTAATGATCGTTGTTTGTGGTGTGGGGGGTTAGAGTGTGCGTAACATCAACTTAAAAAAAATAATAAATAAATATGGTTAATAAAATAAAATTATGTATGTGATTATTATTAATTGAATCAATTCCATGTAGAAGGGGATTGGAATAAAAAAGGCAGACAAATTTCGAAAAAAAAAAAAAAAAAATAAAAAAAATATATAAAATTAAAATATAAATTAAAAAAATAGATAAAAAATTAATTTTAAATAAATTGGTTAAAAAAAATAAATTTAAAAAAAATAATTTTTTAATAAAAAAATTTACAAAAAAAAAAAAATTAAAAAATTAAATTTTTTTTTGAAAAAAATTAATTTTTTTTGAAAAAAATTAAATTTTTTTTTGAAAAAAATTAAATTTTTTTTTTGAAAAAATTAAATTTTTTTTGTTGAAAAAAAAAATTAATTTTATAAAATTATTTAAAGAAAAAATTAATTAAAACCAGTGAACGGAGCAGTATAGTCGGACGGGCCGACCATATGATACCCTACACCACTTCCACGAGCATGGAAAATATTTCGCGGTATTTGCAACCTCTTGACCGACTAGAGGTCAACAAATATTACTAATATTCAGTAAAGCCCTTCTAAATCCTTGTCCAAATTCCCTTCACCGTGGGTTTTGTTGTTATGTTCGGCTCTCAACTGTGACCTATAGATCGACTCGACCAAAACACAAAAAATTAAGTTTTCGGTCCACATCATCCAAATATTAGTATTTGATCATCACCGACAATTACAGGCGTTATCCTTGACCTTGACCTGGAACCTCATAAAAAATTTCAAAGCGATCAGTGCTATATTTTCGCCCTCTAGGGTGGTAATGGGTTACTGAATAATATTTGAACACGTAAGCACCTGTAAGTCTTTAAGTGTAACTCCCACATCCGGGGACATTCGACAATGTAATTGGTATCAATTTAAAGGTCAACCACTCCTCTTGGATATTCTTCTTGGGTCTACATCCTTCAGGGGTAAATATATTACGATATAGAATATAAATTTTGTAATTTTTCACACAAAAGTCAGGGTCCATTTGACCTGCTAAATATTGATCGATCTTTATCAAAATAGGCATGCTTATTCTTTGGCCTGATCCCCTTTTCGTGATATTCGGACCATAATTGCGGCCTCTGGAGCGACCAGAAAATCATACAAAACCAGTAAGGAAAGTAGTAAAGTCGGACTGGGCCGACTATATGATACCCTTCACCACTTTGAATATATTCAACATACATATCCTAACAGATGTCGCCTTTTCGAAGTAACATTGACATGAAATTGAACGAACTTAAATCTAAACCGATTTTCTTGAAACTTAACACACAATCTATGGTAGGGGCAGATATCCATCTCAAAGATACGAAAATCCACGGTCAAGTTTTGGATCTTGAGCGCACAATTTCCATTAAATCGGACGAAAATATATATGGGAGCTAAATCTAAATCGGATGCGATTTTCACGAAACTTAGCACACATCATTCTGCACCTAATTCAGTACTCTATATCAAATTTCGTGCAAATCGAAGGGTGCAAAGGGACTTTGGTGCACCATTTACCTTAAATCGAGCGAAAACATATATGGGAGCTATATCTAAATCTGGACCGATTTTCACGAAACTTAGCACACACCATTCTGGAACTAATTCAGTACTCTATGCCAAATTTCGTGCACATCGAAAGACATATAGGGACTTTGGTGCACCATTTACATAAAATCGGACAAAACTATATATGGGAGCTATATCTAAATCTGAACCGATTTTTAAGAAACTTGGCAGACATCACTCCAAGTTCTATTTAGTATGACATGCCAAATTTCGTCCACATCGAAATATATATAGGGACTATGGTACACCATTTACCTTAAATCGGATGAAAATATATATGGAAGCTATATCTAAATCTGAACCGATTTTCACGAAATTTGGCACACATCATTCTGGACCTAATTCAATACTCTATGCCAAATTTCATCCAAATCGAAAGATAAATAAGGACTTTTGTGCCCCATTTACCTTAAATCGGAGCTATATCTGAATCTGATCCGATTTTCTTCAATTTCAATAGGGTTTGTCCTTGGGCCAAATAAGTAACCTATGCCAAATTTCATCCAAATCGGATCATAAATGTGACCTGTACTTTGTTCACAAAAATACATGGACTATGGATCTGAACCGACGGACATGCATAAATCTTGGACCAAAAAGTGATTCTATGCAAATTTCTCCAAAAGGAACCATGTGTCCATCACCTTGTTTCCTTTAACATTTTACAAACATATCCACAAAGACATAATACCCTGTACCACAGAGTGGTGGGCCTGTATAAATACAGGTCTTGGGCTAGTCCTGCAAAATTTAATTTTATAATATCCTCGCCTTGGACTAGACTTTAAAAAATTTATTTTATCAAAACATAGACCTGTAGAGATTACTTTCGCGCAAGAAAATGTGTTTTTATCCTTCAATACCCCCAAATGCCAAATTATAGCCACTTTGATAAAAAAATTGGTTTATACTTAAAAAATCGGAAAATGGGGCCCTAACCTTGTATGGGGCCTATGCAAAAATATGGTTCTATTTGAATAATTTGATGTATATATGTATGTGAGCCTTCGAGAACCCTTCATGCTAAATTACAGCCACATCGGTGGGAAAAATGCGGCTAAAGCCTTCAAAATACCGAAAATCGGACGAAACCGTTATATGGGAGTTATACCAAAACATCGACCGATATTAATAATTTTTGGTGGGCATATTTATACACCTCATTTGAACCTGAAAATTCAAATTAGAGTCTAATCGGTTGGAAAATGTGCTCAAATTCCCCAATATATCGAATATTGGAGGGTAACGTTCTATGTGGACTACCCTTAAAAGTTGACCAATGTTGATAATTTTTGGTGCGGAGATTTGACACCTAATGAGAACCCAAAATATCAAATTACAGCAAATTTGGTTGAAAAATGTACCGAAATTCTCCAAAATATCGAATATTGGAGGGTACCTTTATGTGGGGGCTAACTGGAAACTTTGGCCAATGTTGATCATTTTTGGTAGGGAGATGTTCTACTCGATGAGAACCCAAAATACCAAATTTCAGCCAATTCGGTTGAAAAATGTTCTTAAATCCCCCAAAATATCGAATATTGGAGGGTACTGCTCCAAGGGAACTACCCTTAAAAGTGGACCAATGTCATTAATTTTTGGTGGGGAGATTTGACACCTAATGAGAACACAAAATATCAAATTACAGTCTATTCGGTTGAAAAACGCGGTCAAACATCCTAATATATCGAAAATTCGGATGTAGCGTTATATGGGAGCTACCCTTAAAAGTGGACCTATGTTGACCATTTTTGGTGGGGAGATTTGACACCTAATTGCAATTCAAAATGCCAAATTACATTCCATTCGGTTGAAAAACGCGACCAAGCTTCCAAATTATCGAATATTGGAGGGTACCGCTCTGTGGGGGACTAACCTTAAAACTAAACCAATATTGATAATTTTTGGTGGGGAGATTTGACACCTAATGAGAACCCAAAATACTAAATTACAGCCAATTTTGTTGAAAAAACGGACATAAACCCCCCTAAATACCGAATATTGAGGGGTCTCTTTATATGGGGGCTACCCTTAAAAGTGGACCAATATTGATAATTTTTGGTAGGGATATTTGCCACCCAATGAGAACCCAAAGTACCAAATTTAAATCAATTCGGTTGAAAAAAGTTTACCAACTCCCCAAAGTAATGAAATTTGGGAGGTATCTATATATGGAAGCTACCCGGAATTTTTGAACCAATGTTGATTATTTTTGAAAGTAATTGAATTATTTGGTTTTTGTAGACTTGTGTTTTTGTTGTTTCATGTGCCATACAAGTGGCGGCAAGTCAAGTCAATAAATGACTCAAATTCTCTTAGAATAAACACAGAGTTCGATACAATACCGGTTTTGTCACGTGCTTTAATTTCAAAATATTTTTTTTCAAAACAATTCGAGATACAAAAAAAAAAAGAACAATAACAACAATAAAAAAATCAACAACCGCACAAGTAACGATTTTTAATTAATTAATGCAAGGCTACGAGGTTGCAATAACGAAACCAAAAATAAATATTCAAGTGGAAATTAAAAAAAAAAACAGGCAAGTGTTGAAATTAATTTTGAATAATTAAAAAAAAAATATTTTACAGATTTCATTGCAAGTGAATACTAAAATGTTTTAATAAAATTTGTTAAAGAAAAGTCTCCATAAACAATAACAACAACAACCAAAAAAAATCGAATCAGCATCATCGTCATCATCAAATCTCATAAATGTCAATATCCTCCTCCTGTACCAGAGATGTCAAAATGTCAATTTGTAAAATGTCAAATTACAAATCAACCATAAAATTATCATCAGCGCTGTCGAAGAGATCAAAAAAACCTATCAGGGCAGAGGCAGCCGAAGCCACAGCCACAATGCCATTATTTATAAAATGTATTTTAATTAATTTATTAATTTTGCGACAATGTGTTTTGTGTGCGGCAACAACAACAACAACGCCGACAATTCAACAGCAACAACAACCAGAGCAATTCCAACAACCATTAGCCGCTTTAATGCTGCGAAATCACACACTAGATAAAGATAATCTCCAAGCAGACGAATTGATAGTGGCGAACAGAAATGCCACCACACTCGCCAACCGGCCACCAACAACAACAAACATCACCAAAGTTTTTGCTGTAAATGACAGCTCAAACAATCAAAATAATAATAATAATGATGTGAAAAATGACGCGGCTTCAACCGATAATGGTAATGTCCATAATGACATTGCCTCCGATAATGACCCTTCACCCATTAACCAATTATTTACCCATTTAACGAATGCAACACTTTTCCACGGTGATGCTGATGATGGAGATGCCAGCACGGTAATGCTATTGGATAATGTAACCCGAACATGTTTACACAACTGTATTGAAGAGGTGAGTTAATGGTATAAGAAAACAAAAAATTTTTGAAAAATTTGGATCAAGGTTAACAGAGAATCGATTATATTTTGAAAAAATAAAAAATTGGTACATTTTTATTTAGAAACATTATCGATAACTACATTTTTACAAAAAAAAATTTTCGATAACATAATTTTATCAAAGAAAATTTATCGAAAAAAATGTTATCGATAAATTCATTCTATAGAAAATTTATCGATAACAACTTTTCCATAGAGAAAATTTATCGATAACAAAATTTTTACAGAAAAATGTTATCGATAATAACTTTTCCATAGAGAAAAGTTATCGATAATAACTTTTCTACAGAGAAAAGTTATCGATGATAACTGATATAGAGGGAAAAATTGTCGATAATAATTTTTCTATAGAAAAAAGTTCTCGATAATAACATTTCTACAGAGAAACATAATCGATAATAACTGATATAGAGGGAAAATTTTCGATAATAACTTTTCTATAGAAAAAAAGTTGTCGATAATAACATGACCATAGAAAACGGTAATAGATAATAAAAAATTTGTATATAGAAAAGTTATCGATAAAAAATTTTCTATAGAGAAATGTTATCGATAATAACTTTTCTATGAAGAAAAGTTATCGATAATAAAATTTCTGTAGAGACATTTTATCGATAATAACATTTCAATAGAGAAAAGTTATCGATAATAACATTTCAATAGAGAAAAGTTGTCGATAACAGCTTTTTTACAGAGAAAAGTTATCGATAATAACATTTCAATAGAGAAAAGTTATCGATAAGAGCTTTTTTACAGAGAAAAGTTATCGATAATAACTTTTCTATAAAGAAAAGTTATCGATAATTACCTTTCAATAGAGAAAAGTTATCGATAATAACATTTCTAAGGAGAAATGTTATCGATAACGACATTTCTAAGGAGAAATGTTATCGATAATAACATTACTAATGAGAAATGTTATCCATAATAATATTTTCTTAGGAATAATATTTATCTTATCAATAAATCATTTCCATAGAGAAATGTTATCGATTATAACATTTTTAAGTACAGATGTTATCGATAATAACATTTTTTAACACTTTTTATAGAAAAGTAGTCGATAATAACTTTTCTGTAGAGAAAAGTTATCGATAATAACTATTCAAAAGAGAAATGTTATCGATAATAAAATTTCAGTGAGAAATGTTATCGATAATAACATTTCTCAGTAGAAATGTTATCGATAATAACTTTTCTATCGAGAAATGTTATCGATAATAACATTTCTATAGGTAAAACATTTTTAAGTACAAATGTTATCGATAATAACATTTTTTAACACTTTTTATAGAAAAGTAGTCGATAATAACTTTTCTGTAGAGAAAAGTTATCCATAATAACTATTCAAAAGAGAAATGTTATCGATAATAACATTTCTCAGTAGAAATGTTATCGATAATAAAATTTCTCAGTAGAAATGCTATCGATAATAACATTTCTGAGGAGAAATGTTATCGATAATAGCATTTCTGAGAAGAAATGTTATCGATAATAGCATTTCTGAGAAGAAATGTTGGCGATAACAACATTTCTATAGAGAAATGTTATCGATAACAACATTTCTATAGAGAAATGTTATCGATAACAACATTTCTATAGAGAAATGTTATCGATAACAACATTTCTATAGAGAAATGTTATCGATAATAACATAGCGACATTTCTATAGAGAAATGTTATCGATAAAAACATTTCTATAGAGAAATGTTATCGATAACGACATTTCTATAGAGAAATGTTATCGATAACAACATTTCTATAGAGGAATGTTATCGATAATAACATTTCGATATTGAAATGTTATCGATAATAACATTTCCATAGAGAAATGTTATTGATAATAACATTTCCATAGAGAAATGTTATCGATAATAATATTTCCATAAAGAAATGTTATCGATAACAACTTTTCAATAGAGAAAAGTGATCGATAATAACATTTCTATGGATAAAAGTTATCGATAATAACTTTTCTATAAAGAAATGTCGTCGATAATTACATTTCTAAGGAGAAGACTTATCGATAATAACATTTTTATAGAGAAATGTTATCGATTATAACATGTTTAAATACAAATGTTATCGATAATAACATTTTTATATAGAAAACTTATAGAAATGTTATCGATAATAATATTTCTCAGTAGAAATGTTAACGATAATGACATTTCTGAGGAGAAATGTTATCGATAATAGCATTTCTAAGGAGAAATGTTATCGATAATAGCATTTCTGAGAAGAAATGTTATCGATAATAGCATTTCTGTAGATAAATGTTATCGATAATAACATTTCTGTAGAAAAATTTTATCGATAATAACATTTCTGTAGAGAAATTTTATCGATAATAACTTTTTTATAGAGAAAAGTTGTCGATAATAATTTTCCAATAAAGAAATGTTATCGATAATAAGTTTTCTATTGAGACGTTTTATCGATAAACACTTTTCTATTGAGATAAGTTATGAATAACAAATTTTTTATAGAGAAAATTTATCGATAGTAAAGTTTATATAGAGATAAGTTATCGATAACCACTTTTTCGATAACGTTATTTTTATTAATATATGTTAACGATAACGTTATATGTATACAAGACAGTTTTCGATAATTAATTTTTTCCAATGAAAATTTATCCGATAACAATTTTTCTATGGATAAATATAGTCGTTTATGCCACTTTAATTATCGATAACTATAGATAAGCTGCCGACAACAATATGTTATTATTAACACATCATTTGTTGTTTTTTTATAATAATGACATATTGACATGCACGTTTTATAAAAATAACAACAACAATTGAAATGTCATTAAGAATGCTTGCCAAAATTTTGTCGGTTTTGTTCAATGACCTATGAAGAGAGAAAGAGAGAGAGAGCAGCGGCAGAGAGGAAGTACTGATCGTGCAAGAGTTGTGGAAACAAATTTTGTTTATTAATGTGTTGTTGTTTTTTCCGTTACTTTCCACTTCATGCAATTTGTCCAATTGTGTGAAATGTCAACACCATTTCATGCCATTTTTATTTCTCATTGACAGTCTCATCTAAACGCTTAGCGCTTTAATGACGTTGACTGCGCTGCTCTGCATCTGCATTGCACTGCAGCGGGGGTGCGTGCCTTTTTGTGTGTGTCTCGCTTTAACGACAAAACGCGCAAAAATGTTAAGGTTAAAGAAATTAAGAGCATGTCAGGTTTTGTTAGAGACTATGTTAATTTTTTGATTTAAAATTGTTTCATTTAATTTTTGTTATCGTTTTTGTTGCTGTTGTTGTTCACTTTTTTTTCTTTTTTGAGATGCACTTGTCTGCATTCTTTTGTAAATGGCCAGTAACAATGACGACGATGAATAGATAGAATAGACAGCCATAAATCTTACACTTTGCGAATGCAGCAACAACAACACCGGCACAAGTGTCATAATGGACCATTAATAGAGAAAATCTAGTTTCGCATTTGCGTCACGGCAAATGATATCAGGTGATTGTTATCGATAACAAGGATGTTTTCTTTTAATGGCGCAAAAGAAATTGAGTTACTTTTATAAAGAAAATTTGTATATAGAAATATATTTATCGATAACTTTGTTCTATAAAAACAATACTATCGATTTATTTTCTATATAAAAAATTTATTATCGATGACAATTCTATTCCTATATGGACTAAAATCGATAACATTCCTGTATAAATAGTTAGAGAATAAAGGAGGGGAAATTTGGATAAGAATATATTCTAGTTTAATAGTCTGTATAAAAAAGTTGTTATCGATGAGTTTACTTCATAGAAATATGATTATTAAATTGTTATCGATAATTTTTCTTAATAGATAAGTTGTTATCGATAACTTTTCTTTACAAAAAAGTTAAGAAACATTTTTATCGATTATTTTTCCTATGGAAGAATTCTTTTCGAAACATTATTTCATTAGAAAAATGTTTCGAAAAAATTTGTTATCGATAACACAAAAAAGTGGATATCGAAAAAGTTTATTTACACAAAAGTTATTATCGATATTTTTTGCTATCGAATTGTTGTAATGTATACATTTTTATGAATATTGTTATAGATAACTTTTTCTTATCGAAAAGTTGTTATCGTTAACTTATTTCCAAAAAAATTTTATTGGTAACGTTTTGCTAATGAATAGCTGTTATCGATAAATTTCCCCCATAGAAAAGTTACTATAGTTAAATTTGATTCATAGAAATGCTGTTATCGATAAATTTGCTCGATAGAAATGCGTTAGCTCTTCTTGATATAAATATTGTTTCTTTTTGAAATAGTTGTTACCGATAAGTTTTCTTTATTTTGAAACATTTATCGATAATTTTTTTCATGAAAATATTGTTATCGATAACTGTTTGCTATCGAAATATAGTTATCGGTGACATTTCTTTATAGAAATATTGATAAACATTTATCGATAACATTTCTTTTTTTTCTTAAAGTAGTTATCGATACATTTTTTCATGAAAATTTTGTTCTAGATAACTGTTTGCTATCGAAATATTGTTATCGGTGACTTTTCTTTATAGAATTATTGTTATCGAAAACTTTTCTTTATTGAAATGTTGTTATCGAAAACGTTTCTTTATTCAAATTCTGTTATCGATAGATTATCTTTATAGAAAAATTATTATCGATAAAATGTCTTCATAGAAATGTTGTTATCGATAATTTTTTTTCATAGAAAATTGGTTGTCGATAACTTTTCTACATAAAAATTTTATTATCTATAAAATTTCTTTATTGAAAAGAGGTTATCTATAGCTTTTCTTTACAGAAAAGTTGTTATCGATAAATTTTCTTTATAAAAAAGTAATATTTCTTTATAGAGATGCTATTATCGATAGATTTTTTTTATAGAAATGCTGTTATTGATCTATTTTCTTCATAGAAAAGTTGTTATCGATAATATTTCCTTATGTAAAAGTTATTATCAACACC